CACCCAAGCAGACCGCGGGTCCCAGTTGAGGACCCCTCACAACGTGGTCTTGCCCGCAGTTCTGGCATTTTGAAGACTGCCTGTTCTCTGTCTTCATGATGCCAACGCCCCCAGCTCCTGGTTTCCTGTTCCTTCTCGTGTTTTTCTTTCTCCCTCCTACCTTCTCTTTCACCTTCTCTTCCACCTCTACCTCCTCCTTTCTGTTCTTCACCCAACCCCTTTTCTCCCAGACCAGTACAGCACCCTGCAAGTTCCCTTACAAATACTATCTTGGGCTATGTATTGACCCTGGTGGCACAGATCCTGGGAGTGAGTATCTCTTCCTCTCTGGGTAGACACGTCCTCTCCCGAGCAAGACTCTCGGTTTCTCAGCAGCCTCGGCAGGGGCCACACTTCGATAGGGACACAAAATCTCCCTCTTATCACTTTGTCAGCAAGCTCATCAAAGCTGAAAACGGCCAGGCCTCAATCTATCCCTAGGCCTCACCCCACAGAACACCTAGTCTGGTGGTTTGAGCTCTCGCGGACGTCTCTCAGGCTACAGACTGGCAGAGACGACCTTGACGGCCTGATCTCTCAGACGGCGGGAACAACCATCCCAGGATCCCTGGACTGGATTGAATCTGGCAAGGCTTGTAAGAATCCGAAATTCTCTGGTATTCTTTCAGGGCTTGTCATTCCATGATCTTCCAAGCAGGGCATACTTTCAACGACAAAGCTGTACCAGCCGCGGGCAACATTCTCAGGGCTCGCTTTGGCTTGGTACGAAGACACCTACCTCTACCTCGCACTTGCTCTCTCCAATCCTTTTATAAGTTCATCCCTTTCTTCTGCTGCGAAAATTTCAACCTACACAACACAAGGCACGAGACCTTGCAGCATTGTGCACCGGATCAGTGCCACTGCCAGTCCTTCTGAACAACTTGACCAAGCTCCTTCTGTCAACCAGGTTTGTTGTCCTTTTTTCGTCACAATCTTTGCCCTTCCTCGTTGTGTTACTTGGCTGGGAGTTGTTGTGCTGGTCTGCATGGTCGTGGCAGCGCTCGGGGCGTCAAGTTGGACTGCCATGACACGACAACCCTTTTCCCAAGTCGCGCCCCTATTCACCCCATACTCACCTCGATACACCGATACACCGAGACTCACCGAGTATCATCAGGCAATGGGGCCTCGCCTATGACCATGGCCTCTTTCGTCCCATGCTTCCTTCGGGCTCCTGCCTAAGTCGTTTCTGCTTCACTGGAATTCCTGTCCCAGTTTATATCCTTCACGCTCTTTTTCTTTTGCCCTTCCCAAATCCCACCCCTCTTGTCTCTTTCTCCAACCTTCGACTCCCCCCTGGCAGGCATACTTTACCACCCGACTCAAATCGCCTGGACGACCCCTTTTTGATCACTCTACCTGCAAATCGGGCATTTATTTCTCATCAAGCTGGTTAAAACCCACGTGGGCATGGCTGACCAGAAGAAGCAGCCGCCCTCCGCAGTTGATATCCTGAGCATTAGCGTTGGTCTCTGCCGTCCTGGCACCAACGTACCCAAGAACCCAATCGCTCCTTCATCGTATACCCCTGCGAGATACGGTCAGAATTTTGCGAAGCATCAACTTCATCTCAAGCTCCTTCAGATATTCAACGAATCAAGGATACATCCCAAATGGCTCACTGCCAGCTCGCGGTCCCCTCGTGGGCCCGCTGCGGGAGAAACGCCGTTCCGAGCTTTCAGCCCACCACG